TGGTTCTCAAGGTATTTTCATGGGAATTGGTAAAACTTGATTTTCTGGAATGGGAGTTTCAGGGAATAGAGAATATTTTATTTTTTTAGGGAATAAGGAATTTTAGGAAAGTTCATTCCTCGATGCATTTCTAACTATTAGTTTTTATCTTCGTCCGTCCCACCTCTGTAACACTATAAAGAAATTTCCAGTGCAGCTACGTGTATGGCATTTGGTTAACAACCTCATTTAGTTTTCCACTTCGATTTGTCTTTTGAGTTTTGTTTGTCGAGTTGCGTTAAACTACAATCAAATTAGTAAATTTAAATTAGTTATTGAATTTGGCAATATATTCCACATGTTTTCGACTACTTCAATCGTAACTAAAATTGAGTTGCAGCGTTTAATAGTTAAGAAAAGTAGCAGGATATTATCGAAAGAACAAAAAGGAATGTCTTTTAGCCTTTTTTGTGTGTTTCTACATTTAATTATTTGTTGGTGTTGGTTAATTATTTGCTGGTGTTGGTTAATTATTTGCTGGTGTTGGTTAATTATTTATGTCCTGGTTATGACATTAAACTGACCCTCACTGCCTTGTGAGTGATGTTGGATCATCAAAGGCTAGGCCCACCGCTTATAACTGTGGTTGCGTAAGGAAGGGCGTCCTGCGTAAAAATTAGCCAAATAAATTACTTATGATGACAGAAATGACAATGGCCCTCATCGAGGGGTATTTTGGTTTCATCATAGGTAGCCAAACGGCAACCCCCGATCTCGGGGAAAATGTCGTTTAAACGTGTGTTGTTGTTGTTGGTTAATTATTTGTTGGTGTTGGTTAATTATTTGCTGGTGTTGGTTAATTATTTGTTGGCTTTCAACAAACATTGAAGTAAATCTGCATTTTTTTTTAATTTGTTTTTTGTGTTCAAAAATTTTGAATATGGAAAACTGCAAGGAATGAGAGGGAAAAGGCGGGAATGAGTTAAAAGATAAGGAATGGGAGTATTCGGGAACGTTGTCGTAAATGGGGATTTGGGAGGGGAATCAATCGGGAATGAGAAAATATAGGAGGGGATTTGGAACAAATTTACATTCCCGCTCACCTTTAACTACTACTACTACTATTACTACTGCTACTACTACTACTACTACTACTACTACTACTACTACTACTGGTGTTTCTGCTACTGCTACTAATATAAATGGTTCATTATATACGCCTGAGAAAATTAATTTTTTAAATATATCGTCTCTTTTTTCTCTCTTTCTCTCTCTCTTTCTTTCTTTCTTTTTCTTCTCTCCTGTAATAATAATCGATTTCACATTATGTAACTAGGTCATCTGGTAGAAACGTCAGCCAATCAGAATTGGGGAACGGCGCCCTAGTTACATGTCCAGCTGGTGAAATGAATATAAATGGGATCGCTTTGAATTCGACGGGCAGTTTGTTTTTTACCAGCGCCGGAAATTCCGTCCGAGTCTGGGACGTCCGGATGTTGGTTGATTGATTGATTGAGTGAATGAGTGAGCGAATGAGTGAATTAATGAATGAGTGAGAGAGTGAGTTAGTGACTGACAATTATTTTTCAAGGTTCAAATCAATAGGCAAACTGCACGGTGGCCACCAATCATCGATTACCTCTCTCTCATTGGTCGACGTCAACCAATCAAATTCGCTCGTTGCCACAGCCACTAAGGACAACATAATAAGGGTGAATTTTTGAATATATGAATAACAAATAGTAATAATAATTACCTTCCCCTCTCTCTCTCTTTCTCTCTTTCCCAGATTTTCACAATCTCTTCAGCAATCAGTGAGATAGTGAGTCCGAGTATGACATTACCGGCCAAGCACACGGACACCATAAACTGTTTGAATTTCAATGGACCGTACCATTTGTATAGTGGGGGGAGGGACAACATGATTGTTAAGTGGGATTTATCGCAGGGGGCTGGCCAGAATCATCAGGTTTTTTTTTAAGGGTTTCTGTGTTGAACCAGTAAATGTTATGATCGTCAGCGGTCGAATTCTACAATTTTTGAAAAGTTTTGTCATTCATATCAATATTTCTTAATAATAATATTATTACTTTTTACTAATTCATTCATTCATTCATCAATTCATTCACTCACCCACAAGGTCTTGGCGAACGCTCATAAAGGCTGGATCGCTGGATTAGCATGGAGTCAAACGTCCCTCAGCATACCACAATCATCATCATCGTCATCATCATTACCATCACCACCATCATCATCAGTAATATCGCCATCATCGTCGTCGTTATCAGCGAGGCAGTGCAAGCCACCAACGTTACAACATCTCTCTAAACCAGCACCACCATCATCATCAAGACCAGCATCATCTAAAACATCATCATCATCATCACAACTCCAGCCACAATCATCATCATCATCACCACAATCATCATCATCACCACAGACATCATCATCAGTATTGAACGGCTGGTTGATAAGCGCTTGTCATTCGGGGAGCGTAAAAATTTTCTCATCCTCAACATTAACGCAATTGAACGAGTATCCGAGCGCTCATGAAGCCGCCGTCAACAGTTTAGTGGTCGGCTGCTGTGATGGTGATGATAACGATGGCGAAGATGGCGATTATGAAAGGGACAGAAAGAGAAGAGGTTGTGATAATGATGTCGACGAAGGAGCTGATAACGATGAGAATCATAATCGTAGAATGATGCTGTTCACTGCTTCTAGGTTAGTCATGATGATGATGATGATGATTGTGATGGTGATGATTGTGATGACGATGATCTTGGTCATGATGATGATGTTGTTGTTGTTGGTTATGATGATGATGATTGTGGTCATGATAATGATGATGTTGTTGTTGATGATGATGAAGATGACGATGATTGTGGTCATGATGATGATGTTGTTGTTGTTGTTGTTTATGATAATGATGGCGATGATAATGTTGATGATGACGATGCTTTTATTATTATTTTTTTAAATTAAATAAAATTTTTTTTCTTCAAAAATTCAACAGTGACAACACCATTGGCATATGGAGAATGAGAAGAGATTAATAATAATAATAATAATAATAATAATAATAATAATAATAATACCCTCGTAACTATTATCATCGTTCCTATCGTTGTAGCTACTCGTTTTAAATGCTTATAATTAAATTTAAATAATCAATTGATGGGTAGATGAACCAATTAATTAATTAATTAATTAATTGAGGTCACTCATATATACGCTCTCTTTTTTTCTCTCTCTCTCTCTCTCTCTCTCTTTCTCTCTCTTTTTCTCTTTCTTTCTCACTCTCTCTCTCTCTCTCTCTCTTTCTTTCTCACTTTCTATCTTTCTTTCTCTCTATCTTTCTCTCTCTTTCTCTCTCTCTCTCTCCTTCCTTCCTTCGATACATTCGTTCATTCTTTCATTTATATAAGCTTTTGCTAGCAGTAGAAATAGTGAAAATATATATATATACAATATCTTAGAGTTTATATACTAAGTTTAATGGAATAATAATATTTATTATAGTATTAATAATACAAATTATTATTGTAGTATTAATCATAATAATAATTATAGTATTAATAATAATAATAATAAGGGTATATATAAAACTAGTTACATACATTTATGTTTTGTTTGATTCACTCACTCTCTCGATTGTTCATTCATTTATTCATTCATTTATACATTCATTTATTCATTCATTCATTTATTTTATTTATTTATTTAAAAAAAAATTCAAACACACTACGCGTTAACTTATGCCCAGCTACAAGCTTAAATACTTATACATATTCATTCATTCATTCACTCATTCAATCATTGTTTTATTTCAATCAATATCTTTTAGCATATCTTTTAACGACAATCGAGTTATCTATCAAAACTAAACATATACACAACTACTAAGAAAAATTTTGAATTAAAACTATACAGAGATGATATACAGAAATGAACGAATGATTGAATAAATGGACGAGTGAGTGAGTGAGTGAGTGAGTGAGTGAACAAACGAATGAAGAAATTAATAATTAAATATACTATCAGAAGATAGAATTAATTAACGAACAAACAAAAGAAATAAATGAATGATTAGATGAATGTAAGAACAAACAAATTAATTATTCAATTAATTAATAGTACAAACCAATTAAACAATGGCAAATTATGATTGAAAATGTGTAAAGATATATTACACATGAAATGTCTTAATTATAGATAAGCGTTATGGTGCTGGCTGGAGCAAATTTAAGAATATGAAAATGGAATGGACGAACGAACGAACGAACGAACAAATGATTAAACAATTAAACAACTCAATTACTGAAATAATTAATCAATTAATTATTAACTCTACGTAAGAACAACTTGATCAACACTAACTGGATACTACAAAAATGTACATACATACACACTTAACTAAGAAAACCTTTAATTTAAAATATTGTCATCATCGTCGTCGTCATCATCATAATTATTGCCATCACTGACACCACCATCATCATCATCTTCACCATCAGTGACGTCATTAACATCATCGTCAGTCAGCAGAATCAATATTTACTACATCGCTAGTACCACTGACGTCATCATCTTCTTCAACTTCTTCATCTTCTTCATCATCAGTGACGTCATTATCGTCGTGATCATCATCAGAATCGATATTTGATCTCGGAGTTGTTCCAAAACCTCATGGCCACTGTCCTCTGATCGCACCACTTCACCTCAACAACTTTCAGAGGACTCACAGAAGATGGTGGCAACGATGATGATGATGATGACGATTGTGGTGGTGGTGGCTGTGATGATGACGATTGTGGTGGTGGTGGTTGTGATGATGATGAGGAGGAAGATGATGATTGGTCGGCGATTATGACGGTGAAACCTTTCACGCATTTGATTTGCTGGGGACCCAGGCTGAACATCGAAGAGGAAGCGGTCTGTTTATGATGGTGATGATGATGATGACGATAATGATGATTACATTAAGTAAGGTCACCAAAAAGATCAAGCAAATGAAATTTTCAATCAAAATCCATGTCCCCATCATCATCATCACCGTCATCATCACAATCATCACCAACCTGCCAAATGTAGACTTTCATATCGGCGAGAGCAATGGAGGCTAGAAATTTCCCGTCCGCGGAAAAACCCACTCCAAGTATCTGACCCCTGTGAGCCGCGATTGACTGATTGGTGGAGGGAGGTTGATTGATTGATTGATTGATTGATTAATTGATTGATTGGTTGATTGATTGATTGATTGATTGATTGATTGATTGATTGATTGATTGATTGATTGATTGATTGATTGATTGATTGATTGATTGATTGATTGATTGATTGATTGATTGATTGATTGATTGATTGATTGATTGATTGATTGATTGATTGATTGATTGATTGATTGACTGACTGACTGACTGATTAAAATGATTGATAAAGAACGAGTTTGCCAACATCCAACTAACCTGGCATTTTCCTTGCTTAAGATCATAGAAGAGAAGATTCCCATTCCTGGTTCCCACGACGATCCGTCTCGTTGAATGGCAGTAGCTGACCATCGGAAACTTCTTGCAGTATCCCGGAAATATTTCCTGCAAGCCAGACGTCTTGATCTGATTCATGTCTAGACAGTGAATCATCACGTCTGTCAGCTGATTGGTTGGTTGGTTGGTTGGTTGGTTGGCTGGTTGGTTGGTTGGTCGGTTGGTTGGTTGGTTGGTTGGTTGGTTGGTTGGTTGGTTAATTCAATCAATCAATTATTCAATTAAATCAATCTTTTTATCAGTAGTAGTTAATAGTAGTAGCAGAAGCAGTGGTAGCAGCAGTAGCAGCCCACCTCAGACAACAACTCCATCAACTCAACTGCCATCTTCTCGACCAGTTGTTGTAGGACTCTGAGAATCTCCGGTTTTGACTTGACGAGAACATAGGCGTGCAATGAATGTTGGTAGGTCTGGCTCTGCGCGTTCTGAATCATCGCGTTGTACCTGATTGTGATGATATTAAACAAAGAGTGAACTAACGAACGAAAAAATGAATTAAACAAAGAACGAACAAATGAACAAACAAACGAATGATCAAACAACCAAACGAACGAACGAACCTGGCGACTTCTTTAGCCATGGTGATGACGTAAGTTGAAGGTCGTGCGGTCGCGATCAAAGAGAGGGCGTGTCTGGCCGTCCTGCAAGCGTCTGCCCTTGGGGTCAAGGGCAGTCCAAAGGTCATGCTGTGGTAATGGTGACGATGGCGGTTATGATGGTAGTGCTGATGACGATGATAGCAGTTATTACAAAGATAGCAGATAACATTCTCAACGATGTTGAATTAAATAGCATAGTAAAAATTCCCCAGCCAATCGCCACAAACCAACCTAGGAACCAGCCTATCAGCATCGATGCACAATTCCAGTAGACCAATCAGAACGTTCGATACGTCCAAATATGGCTGCCAGACCACAAATCCTCGACCAATCAAATCCACGGACGCTCTTCTTATCAAAGAATACTTGGTCTGATTGGTCGGCTGTTGGAATAATAAGTAGGCCAGAGCTTTGCCTTATTGTTGGGAATGGAGTCATTAAAATTAAAATTATTATTATTATAATTATTATTATTGTTATTACAGAGAATTTAACATAGCGTCAATTTAAAAGTTTCTCAAAGGTGCCCTCATAAAGTTCATACAAAAGTTCACAATGAAAAAATAATAAGCAGAATTAAATAGAAGACAAGTATGTTTTTAAACATTGTTCTAAATTTATCAACACTCAACCCCGGCACCCCGATGGCTTTGGCAGCGCATTCCAAAGAGTCGGCTCAGCAACAGATATGCTCCTTGCTCCTACACTTAATTGGGCCCTATTAACGGCCATCAGATTTGGATCATGAGACCTCAAATGAAGGCCTTTCAAAGCAGTTGATTTTCTGTCAAACTTCTCCATCAAATGTTGAATACTTTTAAACCATTTTGCACAGACACCAGTATTAGCCCTCAGCTCCAGTATTAGTAGTAGTAGTAGTAGTAGTAGTAGTAGCATTAGTAGTAGTAGTAGTAGCTACAGCAGCATCAGCAGCGACAACAGCAGCAGTAGTAGTGGAAGTATGATTTATTTATTATCATTATTCTATCATTAGTAATTATCTTTCAAAAAATGTTTACAAAATATGTAAAATCGTCATCATAATGACATCACCTTCAGCATGACATCATCATCATCACAACCATCCTATCATCCTCATCATCATCACAACCATCTTATCATCATCATCATCCTCACAACCATCATCATCACCATCGTCACCACCATCAGACGACCAACTAGTATTCCTAGCGTGCTCATGGTTGACGACACTGAACCCATCAGCCACAGCCTGTTGCGACTCTCGGCCACTGCTGCCACCATAACCACCACCACCACTACCACCATTTCCCAAATTGGCGCCAAACTCTGCTCCGACCACTCCCAACATCACGATGGCTGTCGCTTGTTTGTTCCCGCCAAAAATTTGCTGCTGCGGTGGTGGTGATGATGATGATGTCTGTTGTTGAGATGATGATGATGATTGTTGAGATTGTTGTTGTTGTTGCTGCTGCGTTAGGGATGATGATGATTGTTGCTGCTGCTGTAGCTGCTGCTTGCCAGCTGCTACTGCCGATGAAGAAGAAGAGGAGGAGGAAGAAGATTGGAATGGAGCTATCACGTGATCATCTGAAAAATAATGAATAGATGGATGGATGAGTGAGTGATTAAATGAATAAAAAAATGAGTGAATGAATGAATCAACTCATTAATACAAGAAAAATTAATGGATGGATGGATAGATGTACAGATGGATAAAGAGAGAGAGAGAAAGAGAGAGAGAGAAAGAGAGAGAGAGAGAGAGGGAGAAAAAAGAGAGACAAATCCCAATACTGAAAGACAAGACAAAAAAGAAATTGCATAATAAACGTAAGGTAGAAAAAAAACAGTAATGAAAGTGATCATTTTCTCAAAAATCTGGGATTTCCCAGTTCAAAAAACCAAACTGGATTGATCTAGAATGATAATTGTTGGTTATAACACGACGACGACAACGATGATGACGCGATGAGGATCATCATCATCGTTACCATCATCACCACCATCATCATCATCATCAAACTAAATCTATTTATAGAACCGGCTAGAACCGGAATACAGACAGAACGAAGAAAATTTTTGAAAAAATGTAGAGCCTTATTTAATAGTTTAGTAATAATTATGGAAAACCCCAATTCACATGCCTAATTAGAACAAAAAAATTTATATATGTATAACGCATATATATCTATATAATACTCTCTCTTTCTCTCTCTCTCTCTCTCTCTCTCTCTCTCTCTCTCTCTCTCTTAAATTCTTCCACGTTTATATATAATTATATTTTAACTTTATACTTATAGATCACCTTTTAAAGAAAAACATGCGAAATAATTAACCAACTACTATTATTATTATTTATAATTTATTATTATTATTATTTATAATTTATTATTATTATTATTTATAATTTATTATTTATTATTATTTATAATTTATTAATACTATTTAATGCTGTTGTTTTCGTTGTTGTTTTTCCATGATTTACAATTTCAAAATGGCGGAAAATGGGGTCTTTTATTTCTTCGTTTTGTGACATTTTGAATAATTGAAAACGGATTTTAGTAGAATTTTAATTGATTAATTGATTGATTTATTGATTGATTAATTAATTGATTGATTAATTGCTTGGCTGGGTAAAAAAGTAAAAAAAATTAACTGACAGTTTAATAGATTCATGAACTGAAAGAAAAAAAATTGAATTATTAAATGAACGAACGAACGAACAAACGAACGAACGAATGAATGAATGAATGAATGAATGAATGAATGAATGAATGAAATGATTGAATAGGTAAACGAATTAATGAATTAATAAAAAATATGTTAAACTGATCAATAAACTAAAACATGTGATTAATTAAATAAGGCAAAAAACGAAAGAATGAAATGAACAAATGAACGAACGAATGAATGAATAGATCAATACAATGAATGAATGAATTAGTGAAAAAATAAAGAATTAAAAAAAGATTGAACGAATGAAAGATTAAACAAATGAAAGATTGAACGAATGAAAGATTGAATGAATGAATGAATGAATGAATGAATGAATGAATGAATGAATGAATGAATGAATGAATGAATGAATGAATGAATGAATGAATGAATGAATGAATGAATGAATGAATGAATGAATGAATGAATGAATGAATGAATGAATGAATGAATGAATGAATGAATGAATGAATGAATGAATGAATAAAGAAGAACAATAATTCGTAGTAAGCTGAAAGTAACAAACCAATAAAATCGAATCGTCATAATTAACCACCAATATCGGTGACGTCATTCTCGACAACATCTTCATTTTCATCATCACTACCATCATCATCATCACCACCACCATCATCACTACCATCATCATCATCACCACCATCATCATCATCTCATACCTCCAAGTATACCATCATCATCTTCGTCGTCGTCGTCGCCGGCCACGCTACTACCACCGCCACCGCTACCACTACTACCACCACCAGCACTGGCTCCTTGAAACTGGGTCACCTGGTTTGAAGAATGTAGGTCAAAGTTCATCAAGGTCATTATAGGGTCAACGTTGGTGGGTAGATAGGGGCTCCACTCGTCTACGACCCTCTTGCGACCCTGCGGTCCCAGGCGGCGAAGTTCGGCTAGCAGGAGGGCCTGAGAAGCTTCTCGAATCTGGTGACGATGATGATGATAGTAATAGTGGTGGTGGTTAAAATGACGGTTAAGATGGAAGCGATGACTGACGTTAAAACAAAACTGACGAGACATTTCTCTAAGGAAATGAGAAATTCGCAAAAACGCTCCAAAAGTAGAAAGGGCATAGTTCAATAGTTCACGAAACATCCAAAACAAACCACACACACGCACACACACACACACACACACAGTACCACAGCAGGGAATAAACAAACAAAACAAACAAACCTCCAAGCACCTATCTTGCCATCTCTTGGCCAGCAATTCAAGTTGAGGGGCCTTGAACTTTAACTTCCCGACCAGGTCAGGTAGGAGGACGCAGTGTAGGGCTGCCAGCAAGCTCCAGCCTATGGAATCAAGGTTTAGGATGAGCTATTATTATTATTACTAATCATCACCATCATTATCATCATCGTCGTCGTCATCATCATCATTACCGTCACCTTGTTTATTTTGAGACTGGTAGGCGTTGCTCATCTCAGTCACGGACTCACTTCTAAAATGATGATGATGATGATGATGACGATGATGATGACGATGATGATGACGATGATGGTGATGACGACGACGATGATGATTATCTTAGCAGCCCTCCAACACACTATTCATTTTTAAACCTTAAAATCAAGTAGATAGATACATAGGTACATCTGGCGTTTGCTTGGAATTCGCGAATCCAAACGAAATGATATCAATTGTTATAACAACAATATCAGAAACATTAACCATAATAACAATAATAATAACAAAAACAAACAAACATATAAACAAACAAGCATACAAATATACATACATACATACAAACAAACAAACATACAAACAAACAAACATACAAATATACAAACAAACAAACCAACAAACAAACATACTCAGACTTATAATTCGTCCTTCGCCCACCAATGAAAGTAGCGTTTGACATACTCATCAGCGTGTTACTCAGTGATATGATGGACAGCAAGTGCTGGGTCGTCATCGTATTCGAGATCTGCCAGTGATTGGAGATATTACTGACCGCCGGAAGTAGTGACGATGACGTCATCGTCGTCGTAGTCGTTGTTGCTGACGATGACGATGTGGTCGATTGGCGCCTTGTCGCTTGTTGTGGCTGCTGCTGTGGGCGAGTAGGAATGGGTGGGGGTGTTTTTTGTGGCTGTTGTGGTTGTTGTGGCGGTTGTGGTTGTTGTGGCTGGTACGAATGGTGAACTAGCATAGCTTGATGTTTTGGTGAAGTTTCAGACTGGAGGAATGGATTTTTGCTGACACTACGTTGTTGTGGCTGCTGTGGCTGTTGTGGTTGACCTAACTTCTTCTTAAGGTCATTTTTGTTGCTGCTGCAAAACTTTGCAGTCGGCAGTAGTAGCGACAGTTGACCACCGGGTGATAAATAACCAAACGACACTG